CCCTAACTATATAATAAGTACATAAGTAGTGAATTAATATTACTCAGTACTTAAATGTATATTTACACTGTAACAAGGACACCTTAAAATAAAGTGTAACCTACTTTAGTTATACTATGGGCGGCTATCTACAACAGTAAAAGAACCAAAACCTCAAAAGACATTGAGCAAATAAATATAACAAGCAATAGGATGACAACTGTCAAAATATTTCCATGTTTTCCACCTTTATATGTACAGAAATCACACTTTCCTTCTCCCGTTCTCTCTCGCAAACACACGCACAGTACAGACACACACTCGTGCACACACATGGTGGCACGCACAGAAACTTGTTGCCAGAGCTGCCCAGCGAATGTATCAATAAAATAGTTTAGCAGCTACATGACTACATGACCTTTCTCAGTTGCGAGGTTCTTGAAGCAGTTCAACTTAAAAGATTTGCTGTTAGTAGAGACGCTGCTGCTGAACACTGCTGAGAGATGCACAGACGCAGGTATTCACATGTGCTCAATCTCTCTTTCTCTCGCTGTCTCTCTCTATCTCTAATAACTGCATTAGCCTGCATATCAATGGCTCAAGCCTCCGTTATTAGCTCTAAAATTATGTTTTGGAATTATCATTCCATTATTGGATGGGTTGGAGTTTTCAGGGTGGAAACATGACAAATGTATTGAAATAAAATATCTGAACAATGTCTTGAGGTGTAGTTGTGACTCCAGGCCTTTAAAATTATTAGAGAAATAATGCACTCCCGAAGTGGTAATGTGACCACGATGCTGGAGCCTATTAATGGAACGGTCTTTCTCCATTCTCAAAATAATTAAAGGGGTCATATGATGTGACTTCAAGTTTTTCTATGTCTTTGGAGTGTTACAAGATGTTCGTGCACTTGCCAGAGTGGGTATAGACCTTTATAAGTCAGCAAGCGCCATCCTTTAGTAGTCGATGGCTTGATAACTTGATCACATTATCACCGTTATGGTGATGACTGCAAACTCTTGTATGAGAAGTGATGTTAAAACCCTTGTTGTCTCGACAGTGATAGCCTCGTGGGCAACATGCCAACATATGGCGCAGTTGTGCTTTGGATGTCTCAAGTTCAAATCCCACCTTGTGGACCTTTCGTGATCTCATCCCCCTCTCTATCCCACTTGCTTCCTGTCAGATCTCCACTGTCCTTTCAGAAAAAAAAAACTCTTCTTGTCTGTTAACTTCTTGTGTTTCTCTATCCAAAGGGAAAGAGTGTTAACTCAGAGCTGAACTCAAACAACAGAACATTTCCGTCTTCCATTTGTTGGTATTTTTAGAATGAGAAATTATATATTCATCCATCCATTTTCCAAGCTGCTTATCCTGTTTGGTCTTGGGCTGCAGGTGCACGGGGTCACCCTGGACAGACACATTCACATCTATGGACAATTTATTGTCTCCATTTCACCTATGCAGTATGTTTGAATTTTGAGGAAAAAGTGAAGCACATGGAGGAAACATAGGGACAAACATGGAGAAAATATGCAAACTCAGAAAGTTGCATTAGGGACCTTCTTGCTGTAAGACAACACTGCCACCCACTTAGCCATCATGCATATGATTTAATAATGAATTGTTGTTTGCAATACGACTGGAAAGAGTTGTAGATAAAAAGTGAAAAATAATCCTAAACCAGTGACAGAAATTAACATTTCCATTAACGATCTTTACCCCCTTAAATTGATTTCCAGGGGCTTTTTTTTTCTTTAGAAGGGCAAATCTTCTAACCTCAGAAAAGATGTGTCATCTTTCATGTAGCATAAATAAGACACCATAGGGCTGATATCAACCAAATAAAACCAATATCAACAAAATCCATATTTGCCTGCAGAGGTGTCACAGAAGCTGCATCTGAAGTGGCATTTAGACGTATTTACACAGACTGTTTAATGCAGCAAAAAAAGATGCCACAAGTGCATTTACATTTACATTTAGTCATTTAGCAGACGCTTTTATCTAAAGCGACTTACAAATGAGGAAAATAGAAGCAATAAACACTTTTGGCCGTTTATTGCCTAAGGAATCAGCTGCTCAAATTGAGTTGGGCAGGTCATTCCACCAGGAAGAAACAGTTAATGTAAAAGTCTGTGAAAGTGATTTTGTGCCTCTTTTGGGTGGCACAATAATGGACCGTTCACTTGCAGAACGCAAGCTTCTGAAGGACACATAAGTCTAAAGTAGTGAATTTAGATAAAGGGGCGCAGAGCCAGTGGTGGTTTTGTAGGCAAACATCAATGCCTTAAATTTTATGCGAGCAGCTATTGGTAGCCAGTGCAAATTGATAAACAGAGGTGTGACATGCGTTCTTTTTGGCTCATTAAAGATTAATCTTGCAGCCGCATTCTGTATTAATTGTAGAGGTTTGATAGAACTGGCTGGAAGACCTGTCAAGAGAGCATTGCAATAGTCCAGCCTGGACAGAGCAAGAGCTTGAACAAGGAGTTGTGAAGCATGTTCCAAAAGAAAGGGCCTGATCTTCCTAATGTTGTATAAAGCAAAGCTGCAGGACCGGGCAGTTTAAGCAATGTGGTCTGAGAAATTCTGCTGATCATCAATCATAACTCCAAGGTTTCTCACGGTTTTTGAAGGAGTTATGGTTGATGTGCCAAACTGGATGGTGAAATTGTGATGAAGTGATGGGTTTGTTAGAACCACAAGCAGTTCTGTCTTGGCAAGGTTGAGTTGAAGGTGATGGTCCTTCATCCAGCAAGAAATGTCTGTTAGACAATGCGAGCAGCTATTGTCGGATCATCATGCTGGAATGAGAGGTAGAGTTGAGTGTCATCAGCATAGCAGTGATATGAAAAGCCATGTTTCTGAATGACAGAACCTAGTGATGCCACATAGACAGAGAAGAGAATTAGTCTAAGAACTGAGCCCTGAGGCACCCCAGTAGCTAGATGTTGCGGGTATATGTACAGACCTACTCATTGTATATATATGTATATATATTGCAAGTATGCATCGAGTGTATCATTCGTACCCTTTAATCACCCACAATCCTTTGATCACATTCCAATTCACAAAATCAGAATTGGAGGAAAACGTGAACATGTGTCTCAATTTCCTCCCAAATGAAGCCAAAATATCCCAGATATTTTTTATTGCAAAGAACAGGAACATACAAATAATAACAATGCAAATTATAAACATAAAAACAAACATAGGAGATGAATTAAGATGTTTTTGTTTATGTATGTGAAATCTTGCCATTAAAATAATAATGCTAACAATAAATTCTAGATCTTTATTTCTTGTTTTCATAATACAAGATAACATCCTTTAAAGTAAAACAATAATTAAAATTCATTAATTTCAGTGATGTGAGGTGGAGCTGCAGTCAGGGGCGGACTTACCCATTAGGCAAAGGTAGGCGACCGCCTTGGGCCCCCAAAAGCCAAGGGCCCCCTAAAATGCTTTTCATATAGGATATTCTTTAATCCACTTCATCCAACGCTCTTTTGTTCTCATCTGTGAGCATGCTCTTGATATATGTATTTTAGGTGTCCATGACAATGCTTACATTCAAGCTACCCATAAAATTTATAGTGAAAAGTACTTTTAAAGCGTCTGGAATGCAATAAAGTAATTTTAAAGCTGTTTTTTAAAGCATTTGCTGCATGGATAAAAAATATAAATAATTAACATATCATACAAAATTGCATTGCAGCGCTCTTTTGTTCTCATCTGTGAGCATGCTCTTGATATATGTATTTTAGGTGTGTAAATGTATAATTGCCTTTTCATTATTTTTTCAGTATTATTTAAATTTGTAGTTAAAACAACTAAAAATAAATGTATTTTAAAGTTTAGAATTAGACAGCCTTTGCACACAGGCTTACGCTGAAAACAACAAAATGGAACCTCAAGGTTGATCTAGGAAAATGTGTGCAAATGTATAGGGCCCCATTCCTATATTTTGCCTGGGGCCCCCAATTCACTAAATCCGCCCCTGGCTGCAGTATCAAGGTCCCAACCAAACCACCGCAGACGCAATCACAAGCACACAATAATGGCTTGTCCAATTAAAATAAAATGAATTAAAATAAAATAAAATAAATAAATTCACTGATTGAGATGAAGGCCTATTTTGTTTTGCTGTACGCCAAATTAATCACATAACGGTCCTTGAAGTAAACCACTGGAAAACCATAAGATGATTGTTATTCAGTGACAGTGTATTGTATTAACAGAAAGTGAGACACTATAAAGTTTTTTTTATTTTTGATATATATATATATATATATATATATATATAAAGATTGTTTTCCTAAATTAATGTTCAAATATTATTTGTATTATATTATTAATGTCGTGACCGTGGGGGAGAAAAACCTTCATGACACTGCCATGCAGACTTATCAGATCATCTCATTCTATCGTTTAATGCGGAAGAGAACTCTAGCCTAGAACCCTTAAAGGCTAATATTTTTTTTATTAAAATATCCAAAAACCACTAGAACATATATTATATGTGTTATACAGTATATTTTGCTGACTTGTGTACTTACATTATCCCAAATGTTTCGAAGAATGTTTAGTACTGCTGGTCAGGGAAGCAGCCTTCAAAGACATGAATCTGGTAAATGTAATCATTGTGAACTTCCAGAAACTGTAGAGCATGTGCTGATTAACTATAGGACATATGAAAGGGAAAGAATTAAAAGTGTTTTGGAGTTAAAAGAGGAATTAAAATCTTTATCATTAATTCTATGACATTACAGAATGTGTTAAACAGTTCTCATAAAGGTTATAAAGCTCTTATTAATTTTCTGAAAGGAACAAATGTACATAATAAAATATAGGTAGAAGGATTTTTTTTTTTTTAGTATTTCCCTTGATATCATCGCCTCACACTCCATCCAAGTAACGTTAGGTGGCGGAATATGCACCAAAAGCTGGTTTGCCAACCGCCATAAAATATCAAAAGAAGAAGAAGAAGCAGCAGCCTTCATTTTTCAGCTTTCGGACGCAATTAAATCACGTGTGTATGTTCGCCCAATAAACTGTATGTTACTTATTACTATTCATAAACATAGCCTGCACCTTAATAACATTGGGAAAACGTCACCTTACGTGATTAATATTCATGTTCTTGCCTTCACTATAGTAGGATTAATGCATTCGTGGGCGGGCTATACTAGAATAGTCTGCAGAACAGTATTTTAGGTTGTGATTTCTAAACTAATTAATCAACACAGACCCATTATATTAGAAAAATGGAGGACATAAAGCCTGAGGAGACGAAAGTGGAAGAGCAGAAAGTGAGTATATTTGAAGATTATGAAGTCAAACCGTTGCAGTGAGTCAGATTTCAGCTTTTCCGCTATATAACGTTAACAGTATATACAGACTGTACGTCAGATCGAATCGAAGACACATCGAATAAAAAGCGATTTTTCGCATAAAACCTGCTGTAATATCACTGGTAGATCTGATGATTGCTTCATGTTCTGTCTGGTTAGTGTTTTTGAGTATTGTTAAAGCACTGCTGATCTCCACAGATGTATAAAGGCCTTCTAAGTTACCATCAAATACCAATATTCTGATCGAATCTTTGAAATGACCAGCTTATTAAATCATTTGATAGATAAATAGACATATATATATATATGTTGAGATGTTATCAATAATAATGCTGCAGTTGGTGTGTTTTTTTCTAGATTGAGTTGTGATTTTGTTAGCTAGCAGTTAGCACGTGATGCTAAGTTTACTGTTGAACAGCATTTAATGTTCTGACTTTAAATGTGTTTTGTAACCTCGTCACAGTGTGTGTACATCAGCTGAGGGAGATCCGTATGGATTTACATAAAGAGCTTAGAATGAAAAAATTCTAAAGCACCATACAACAAACAAAAACGCACCTTGATTCCATTGTAAATAAGGAATAAATTCCTAAGTTCCTAACAAATGTCCAGTTAATGCTGCCCTACAAATTAAATGAAGTGAAATTGAAAAAATGTTTTAGCACTAATGATTTTTCATTGTAGATATTGATGTAATATTTAATATAATAATATTTAAATAAAATCTATCATTTGACAATTAAGCATATTCACACAAGCTGTTGTTTTGAATATCAACATGGCTTTAATTTATCATTTTCATATCCATTTTTAAGAAAAAAAACAGTATAACTCCACTTTTAACTCAATACTGCACACATAGTTTCGTATTGTATGCGTACAATCAATCTGATTTATATAAACAGTGAAAAGCATCAGAGTATCAGTGAGCATGGACTAACTATCAGCACTCTGAATGCTGCAAGACCAATCGAATTTATGTTATGGAGGAGAGGTTTCATTAAGTTATGAAATAACATGTTTTTGTGGGGAAACAGCTTATCCTTAAAGCTGCAGTCCGTAACTTTTTTTTGGTTAAAAATGATCCGAAATCAATATTTGAGCAAGCACATAACCAGCCAGTGTTCAAAACTATCGCTTTACTCTAGTTCGATTCACAACGGTTAGCTTATAATAATGTTTGAGTGGTACGGGTAGGTTTTCATGGGAAATTCGAGCATGCTGCCGCGTCATTATGTCACGTCTATAAACATAAAGAAGTTGTCCTGGCTACTAGGCTATCGCATGTGAGGATCCTGCAGGTGGCGGATCGTTTATAGCCTTTTCTCACAGCAGCTAGAATAATTAAATGTATGATTTTGATGGCAGATTGTAATCCAGAAAGGATTATGTGTTTATGAAACACATGTGAATGAAATTAAATTATATTGTAGTTTTAAATGTGCTTCTGATTACAGATAGCCTGGGATTACACAAGATTTGTATTTTAAAGACAACGCCTGGGATTACAAAGATTTGTATTTTAAAGACAACCAGTTCGAAGGGAGCATAATTTGCTTGTTGGGTTAAAAGAATTTCTTAATATGAAATTCAAATAGTATGACAATTCGAGATTAGACTGTGCAGAAATTGAAATCTACACGCTAATATACACTATACTCAGTCATGCAATGCTGATGTTGTTAACATTAATAATGTGAGAATAAAGTATAACAATAATAATAATTTGCACGGTTTGATGTGATATGAGCTAATCGATCTTTAGATTTAATCACCATATAGTGCGATTGTAATGCTTTTTTCCTCAGTTGGTCAGAACAAACGTGGCAGACTTGTTACTTGTTCAGATGACAATATCCGGTCGGTTCAATTCGATATCACGATGCATCACAATGCATTGACGATGCACTGCATCCTCAATTTTCAATGTATACAGTTTTGTCAATAAAATAGGGCTGCAACTAACGATTATTTTGATAATCGATTAGTTGGTCAGTTATTTTTTCGATTAATCTGATCTTTTTTTTATTTTATTGACAAAAAACACACTATTCCACATTTTGCCCAGTGTCCTTCAAACAAACGTTCCAACTGAATGCTATGAAAACATACAGTGCTTAACAATTTATTAGACCACCTGCCATAATAAAGAGAACACACATTTTATGAATTTTAGGAATCTGTCAAAAAATTGTTTAAAAAAAAAGTTATTGTCATTTATTGGGCAAATAAACTTAAACAACTAAATAGTATTTATTCACATAACAAAAATGGCCTCCTATGCCCTTCATAACAGCTTGCATTCTTGCTGGCATTAAGTGCTTTTTGACTGTAATTGGGTATCTGAAAAAAATAACACTAAAGCTATCTGCCTTTCTTTCATAGATAACAGCAATAATTATATTATAGCATTAGAAATAGTCTACTACTGATACTAAGGAGCTTACACATATTGGAGGACTAACCCATACAGAAAGCTAAAAAATGATTTTGGTAATCACCAGTATTGTTAGTTTAGAGCAGCAGTGGTACAAACCATAATTGGTTAAAAACCTTACATAATAAAATTAATAAATTTGTTAAGCATTGTATATAGTGCATATATTTTAAATCTCTGCATTAAAAATTTAAATAATAATAAAGATGATAAAGATGAATAAAATCACAAACTCAGTTATAACCAATAGGTAAGAGTAATGTTCTGCAGGAACACACGTTCACTTTGACCACAGTCACGTCTTACGTCATTTCTCATTTCTTTACCCTGTTAAAGGCGGTTATGAAGCATCTGATATTTATATTCAATTACACGCTAGTGCTTAACAATTTATTAGACCACCTGCCATAATAAAGAGAACACACATTTTATGAATTTTAGGAATCTGTCAAAAAATTGTTTAAAAAAAAAGTTATTGTCATTTATTGGGCAAATAAACTTAAACAACTAAATAGTATTTATTCACATAACACAAATGGCCTCCTATGCCCTTCATAACAGCTTGCATTCTTGCTGGCATTAAGTGCTTTTTGACTGTAATTGGGTATCTGAAAAAAATAACACTAAAGCTATCTGCCTTTCTTTCATAGATAACAGCAATAATTATATTATAGCATTAGAAATAGTCTACTACTGATACTAAGGAGCTTACACATATTGGAGGACTAACCCATACAGAAAGCTAAAAAATGATTTTGGTAATCACCAGTATTGTTAGTTTAGAGCAGCAGTGGTACAAACCATAATTGGTTAAAAACCTTACATAATAAAATTAATAAATTTGTTAAGCATTGTATATAGTGCATATATTTTAAATCTCTGCATTAAAAATTTAAATAATAATAAAGATGATAAAGATGAATAAAATCACAAACTCAGTTGTAACCAATAGGTAGGAGTAATGTTCTGCAGGAACACATTCACTTTGATCACAGTCACATCTTCCTGTCATTTCTTTATCCTGTAATAGGCGGTTATGAAGCATCTGATATTTATATTCAGACAATTACACGCTGTTATCCCCTTTCAGTTCCTACTCTCATAAAATACTCGCATGTTGACCTTTAAACCTTAATTTAACTTTCAACAACAGATATTTAAGCACAATTAATGTTTTTGTACTGATTATTGTGTCTGTTTTCCATCTGTCTGACGCACGTGCCAGCCGTACCGGCACTCATTCAGTAAAGATTCAAACTTAACACAGACTGTCAGGACGGACCTTTATGCAAAAATGGAAATGCTCACGTGAATTTGTGACATTTATACATAACGGTCAAGGATATGACCGTTAACTGAAAGTTTTTTTGCCCTGAGGATGCACACGCATCTGTCAAAGTGCCTGACAGGGCAAGCCATTATGCTAATGCATTAGCTTAAAGCTTAAAATAAAGAATTCTCATGTTTTGGGTAGGGCTGGTCCGAATACCATTTTTTGAGCTTCGAAGCTTCGGTAGTAATCAACACCGAGTGCGACTGTCGTTCGGCACGCTGCATTGAGCAGCCGCGTTCAGTTTTTAATTGTAGTGTCTGTTCTTTCACTGAACTAAATGATTTTTTTTTTTACTATAAAAAATCAAAACGACGGTGGGGGTCGGTGCCGCGGTGGGCAAGTGACGTAACTGGTGTTGCGGCTTAACAACGGTATCACTGTCAGCACCGTCTATCGCGGCAAGCCTAGTCGAGAACCGTTCATCCAATCGACTTCACTCGTGGCGGGTGTGTTGCTGCGGACCCAAGGGAGTGCAGCGTCGCATTTTTGGTGCAATATGGACACGCGACATGTTCAGAATTAATACACTTTTAATAAACTACAGAACAGCACCGCCAGAAGCGGCGCGCCTCACGCTGGCAAGGCTTATATGCTCCGAGAACGGACACTGCACTAGTGATACAAAACACACAGGGCTGCGTTTCTCGATAACGATTGTTCTTAGAGCTTAAGAGCGTTTTCCATGAGTCATTTTACGATCGTTCGTTATTGTTTCACGTGCGTTTCCCTTATATTATACTATATATATTATACTTTACATAATAATATATAATATACTTTATATATATATAATATCTATATAGAGACGTTATTCCCGGGTCCAATACATTGCTGGTTTTCGTGCAAGTCATTGACAACATTGACATTTTGTCTTTTCTTCCAGATGAACTGAATCATGATGTTCATGACGTTCACTCATGGGCGATTCATATTCAAGCGCGAATGAGAACCGTTTTGCGGGGGATGCCAGGTGTTCGAAAATAAATGAATATTCGAATCTCAAAATTGAAAATCGAATGCCAACCCACTGAACGAATATTCGAATAATCGAATATTCTGGTCCATCCCTAGTTTTGGGCAGCTGAGCGAAATGATCAGTTTATTACATCAACCGCGAGAGCATTTCGAAAGCATAAGGATCCGTCTGCTCTCTTATCGCACTCGCGGTACTTGATGTCATACACTGATCATTCTGCACAGCGGCTCTTCAAGCCGAACGCGAAACGTATGCGACAAATGACGTCAGAAAAGCATCAGTACGTTATAATTGGTTATGGGTTATTACTGAACCGATACCGAATCGTCCTCGTCTGCATCGCGATGCATCGTAGAAAGGATTAATTTCTTACACCCCTACTTGTCACTTACTTGAAAATTCTTATTTGGGTCATATATTCCAAGACGTAGGCTAGAATCTGTGATTGCGAAGTACAGTAAATATCCACACTGGTGCGGTGACTGACTGCCACACATACTCCTCAAAACATTAGATTCATCCGCACTGGAGCTGTGCCGGCGCACAACCCACGAAAGATAATTCCGCAAACAGCTGCAATAGCAGGTTTTCAAACAGGCTGGTATCTCCTCATAATAAGACCATCTCCTCTTTATTATTTCAGAGTTTTTTTGGGAAAGCTTCCTTTGTTAATCTTTGAGATATTTTCAATTTACCCCCTTGGGGTCAAAGCCCGCACGTGCGGTCTGTCTTGTATTTTCTTGATGACTGCTTTCTGCTTTCTTGCTTCTTGATTTTCTTTCATTTTTGATTGTACAGATAAGAATAAGGTATCGTTTTAAACTGCACAGGGTCTACTTTTATTTGTGTTTAGTCGTAATAACAAAACAATGTGCTTTTTTAAAATAAAGAAAATAAACAGGGTGCGCTCTCTGCCGTCTCTGTCTCTGTCACCTCTCTTCACAGACACGTAAATAAAACAACCTGAATCTCCGCGAATACTCACCTCAAAGACATGAGAAATATATGTACAGAAAGCTTGAAATGTCTAATTTTAAATGAAGTTAGTCACGTTGAAAACAAATATTCTGTGATAAAGTAATCCATATGAAACCAACGCAATGTCCAATTTTTCCCATCTCAACTCATTATCTCTAATGAGATCATGCCCACGAGCAGCTCGCGCTTTTCAAATTCTAAACATCCACGTGAGACACGCACACATGTAAATACCCACATCATACGTAAACAAATGTAAAGAGTTCATCCCAGCTACTTTTTTGTTTCTGGAAGAAGACACGCTGAGAGGGATAACTTTACCTCAGAAAAAGAACACAACGCGATGCGTCACACAGCTTGATCCAATGAAGGATATCATTCTGGCATTCTGATGAGTAGCCTAAGATTACTTGCATCTGTTGTTATTGTGTTATTGTGACATAACTTGTACACATTTTACTAGTTAGACTTTTCCCAAACTATAATTCCTGACTACATGTATGAAATCAAGTGAAACATTTTGAAATACATGTCATTTCATTGTCTATATGTCTCACAATGCCAGGATGTTTATTTAATGTTTTCTAACATATAAAACCACAAGATATAAAAGTAGTACGAGTGTTAACACTATGAATGTTATTAGAGTCTAGGAATGTTTGGCACAAAGGTGTGTTACTGTTCAAGTCCCAGTGTTCAGATCAGTATGTTCAATCATGTGTCTTTGACCTTCACTGTGTATATTTTTATTATGCTGTGTTGTAAATAAAATAAAAATAATACAAATACAAATAATAAAAAACCAGCATTATTTTACTCTCCTCACACTCTTTCTTACCTGCCTCAGTCACATTGTTTTCTATGAACGAGTGAACAGGATAATTTTCACATTTTGTAGCAAAAACTCTAGTCTACCACATCCAGTTCTCAAAAGTTTTGTGAACAAATATTATGTATGTGTTTTATGGCCTTATTTCAGTGACTTGAAAATTTTAGTTTTTCACTAACCACACATAAACGTTTTTTTCTCAAAAACACAATCATGTACATGCATGCTGCTCACATATTATTGTAACCCAATTTTTGCTGATTACAGTGTTATCAGACTCTAGCCATTAATATGTTTTTAAGATACTGAAAAAAACACAAATGTCATGCCAGTATGGCTCAAATGTGTGACATTAATTTGTGTGTGTGATGTGTATGTTTTCTCTCAGGATGAGGAGAATAAGGTCTGTCCAGAGAAACTGGAGGAAGCCAAACTGAAGGCCAAATACCCTCTCTTGGGTAATAAACCCGGAGGATCCGATCTGCTCAGAAAAAGACTGCAGAAGGGGGTGAGATTCATTCACACGCTCTCTTTCTACCACCCATATTGGTAGGGTGAATAACTGTGTTAGAAGAGGAGATACAGATCACAGGGCTTTGGTGGTTTCACACAGGAAGTTGAACATCACAGCATCATGTGAAGAGTCATGAGCCACAGATGGCATTTCTACCACCCATATTGGTAGGGTGAATAACTGTGTTAGAAGAGGAGATACAGATCACAGGGCTTTGGTGGTTTCACACAGGCAGTAGAACATCACAGCATCATGTGAAGAGTCATGAGCCACAGATGGCATTAGCATTGCGAGACAACAGACACCAGTTCTGGTCAGTTTGAGAACATTAAACTCGGTCATTGATATACACTAAAGGCTAATTTATACTTCTGCGTCGGACCTACGCTGTAGCCTTTACGCCACAGGCTATGCGTCAGTTTTCATTTATACTTCTGCGTCGTTGTCCACGTCGACGTGCAGTACACATGCAGACCGCTAGTGGGTAAGTTGCTTGTGTAACCCGCAGTACCACGGCAAAAGCCGAAGAAGAAGCGGGCGGCAATATCAAATCATTAAATCATTATTTAAAACTACAAAAACGAGACAACAACGGAACAGGAGAAGATGGCATTCTTTCAATCTCCACAAGGACTTGTACCACGGCAGATCAACATTGTTTGTCTCGGACAACTAGTGATGTATAATGCTATGTTGTATGATAAATGATATGTAGAATTCAGCGACACCGGTGACTGTTAGGTGAACTGCAGGCAGCTACTTATTTGCTTGTGCAAACGTAATGTACAAGAGACTGAATGTCATTCAGTGTCATTCAGTGGCCCTTTATGCTCATGTCAAAGTTCATCTTAAACTGACTCCTATAGTTTTTGATATTCTTCATATTCTGTGTGGTGGTCAGTTCACACTGATAGAAATTAATCTTTTCAATAAGTTTAAATAGATTTTTACATTTTATGGGCATTTTTACCTTTTATAAAGCCATTTTTTTAAAAGTGTACATTATCTTTTGAGTCAAATTCTTAATAAGTGAATTAGAATAATAAGACATTTGGGCTGCTACCAAGCAAATGAAATCAGGATCAACAAAATTCATCTTTGCAATGCAGAGGAAACACAGAAGCTGCATCTGAAGTGGCATTTAGATGTGTTTACACACTGTTAAATGCAGGACATGAATGCATTTAACCTGCAGTTACAAATGCACAAATAATATTTTGATATATTAAACAAAACGTTGAATACTGATATTTGAAATTATTTAAATAATAAAAAGATACTTTATATGTGAAATTAAAACTGCCAGTAGGTGGCAGCAAGTCACTGTAAATCAGCAGTTCTTAATCCTGGTCCTCGCGACCCCCCGCTCTGCACATTTTGTATGTTTCTCTTACTGCTTCAGGGGTTTGTTCCATTCGAACGTAAGTGCCCTGTGAAGTGGAAGGGTTGCGAGGACCAGGATTAAGAACCGCTGCTGTAAATACAGTAAGTGAGTCATTGCGATTGAACCAAATCATTCAAACGGTTGATTCATTCAGGAACGAAACACTGTCATGTTGCTCAGAGATACAAAACAGCACTGTGGCTGTATGATTTGATTTTTGTTGGCGAAATAGAGCAAAAACAAGCAATATGGTGTCTAAAACGTAGCACTCTTCGTGTGAAATTGATTAACTATATGAAGTTATATACATTTTCTGTCCCCATATCTTGAATTTGTGATCATTCTAAATGTATTTTAATAGACTGAATCATTCAGTGAAAGAACACACTCTAAATGCGTATGCGCACTAGTCTAGACTTCACGTAATGCATGCGTGCGCTCTGTGGGTGGGTTTTGAATGGTTTTTACAACATACTCAATAATGTCAAATCGCACATCATTAAAACAACAATTACGATATCACAGACGATATATATCGCACACCCCTATAGATTCATGTGCCAGCCCAGAAGGAAGAGAGTCTCTCAGGTCTCAGGAGCATACGTAAATGTCACATCCTTGTGATTTTCTCAGCAAAGTCCCAAGTCTGTCAAATAAAAATCAGTTTACAGGCTTTCATAGAAAACCTAGGAAGTCAGGGAATGTCTTGTTTTTTAAGTTTTGTCTCAAGCTCTTCACACATTGGCAATAAATAGTAATTAATACATGAACGTTCTTACATAGAGCCCCTTTAATATTTTTTGTAGAAAGTTTGATACATTTGTTCAGGATTCGTTGATGAATACAAAGTACAAAGAAACAGCATTAAAATCTTTTGTAACATTATACACATCTTTACTGTCACTTTTGATCACTTTGATTTTTCTTTATCTAGTAAAGGTATTAATTTCTTTAAAAAAAAAAGTACATGCCCCAGTCTGTTGAATGGTAGTGCAACAATGTTTCCTCAAAAATATTAAGAAGCAAAAACTGTTTAATATTGATAATAATAAAAAAAAAATGTTCAAAAGTAGAAAATCAGCATATTAGAATGACTTTTGTAGGATTATATGTCACTGAAGAATGGAGTAATGGCTGCTAAAAATTCAGCTTTGCCATCCCAGGAGTAAACTATATTTTAAATTATATTACTGTAGTCAACATTTGAAGTGGATCAAAAAAGTTTATCAAAGTTGTCCTAAGACAAGAACGCATTTGGTTTTAGGACAACTTTGATGAAAGGTTTTGATCCACTTCAAATGTTGACTAGTGTAAAATAGAAAAGTTAGGGATGTCACTAATGATTATTTTGCCAATCGAGTAATCAGATAATTGTTTGTGGTAATAAAAATAGACCTAAGCAAACAATGTACTTTAAAATGACTTAAATACAAATATAATAGCAATGAGGCAATAATAATTGGTTCAAATAAAATATCAAAGCAAATAATCATGGTTTTATTGAACAAAACTGTTAAAATACATGATATAATAAAATAAGATAATTATAAGTTATGTACTTAATGTATTACATCATATGCCTGCAAATAGCGCCAACGGCCTGACGAGAGTTTTAACACTTTACAGCGCAATCTAATCTTTGTTTAATATTAACTAAACAATGTTTAATTAAAATGTCCACTTAATCTTAAATTTTTAGCCACTTCTTTATGATAGAAGTGCTGCAACCACTGTCATTCTTTGAACAAGAACATTTGGACATCAAAACATGCAACTCGGATCGAGGGTTTAAACTTTTATTTTGAAGCTACGATGAACAGTTAGCATATTTAGAATGATGTATTCTCCTGTGTTGGCATAGGTTTATAAATGTTTTAACATATTTCTGATAGAATGGTGCTCAGATTAACGTTATAAGCAACTCGCACATGACTCTCAGCATATGCAAAGATGGTGTTTGAGATGGTCTGCGCATTGTAATAATAACTGTTTGCATGGAGCAGCAAACAGTGAACGAAATTGCTCTGAGATGCACATAACCTACACACAACCTACACACATAAAGTGCATATGAAACCTGCAGCACATATATTTATTTAATTGAATTGCAGCTTTTGTGAATTCACAATTCTATGCTTTATTATGATTTTTAAATGGTTTTAATGTTTCGTGCAGCCTTAGAAAATGGTCTAATAATGCTTTTCATGGATTCTCGTCTGTGGAATGCACCACTTCCGGTATTTTGCCGGTTAATCGACATGGGCAAAATGTAATCAAGGATTTTTTTTGTTTGTTTGTTTATTATCGAGTACTCAAATTTAATCAAGGAAATGTGAAAGCCCTAAATATTTCACAGTATTACTGTTTTTACCTTGTTTTTGATCAGATAAATGCAGCCTTGGTGAGCATAAGAGACTTGTTTTAAACGCATAAAAAAAATGTTTAATTATTCCAAAGATTTGACTGGTAGTGTTGCAGTTAAAAATGGTGCCTGACTTGTTGTTCGTGAAAGTACGATGCGTATTAAGAAATGATTTAATATTATATATTTGTATTTGCTATTTCATATTATTTAATATTCGTCAGTGTTGTTTTTGTTGAACATTTTTTCATTCCCATTCAGTGGCTCAAATATTTTCATGTACGTCAATAGTCTAACAACATGTTTGCTTTGGAACAGAATCAACACATTTACTGTGCCATCATTTACTCATGCCAACAAGTTCTCCTGAACTGCTTACTTTCCCAGCCAAAATACTTTGACTCGGGTGACTACAACATGGCGAAGGCCAAGATCAAGAACAAGCAGCTTCCAGCAGCGCAGACAGAGAAGACCGAGATCACCGGAGACCACATCCCCACTCCTCAGGACCTGCCACAGAGGAAACCCTCTCTGGTTGCCAGCAAACTGGCTGGCTGAGACCTGCTGCTGTCCTTCACTCCACACTCCCACTTCCTGTCTCTTCCTCCATTTATCTCTGATCCTGCATTCCTGCCCTCATCCTCTATGGTTTCCTGTCCTCTGAAAATACACTGAATATTCAAGGGTTGCAGAGTTGTACTGCCGCACTGTGAGATGGGTTGGGTCGTGGCTCCAAAGGGGGTGAAGTTCTCAAAGGTCTTCTGATATTTTTAATGTGTCTTAGTATGTAGTTGAAAGTGTACATATTTGCTAGTGAGTGAGGGCAAACAGCATTTTAGGAGATGTTTTGCATTTTAATTGTAACCATTCCTGAATTACCCACTGCTTAGAGGACTAGGTCACCCAAAAATCTGTCATTTACTCATTGCGTATGACTTTATTTCCTCCGTTGAACGCAAAAGGAGAAGTTTAGTGGAATGTCAAAGCTGTTTTGTTTTTCTTCAAACAAAGAAAGTCTATAAAGGGAAATTGATGTAGAGCTTCAGTAATTACAAAACAACTGTACTGTAAGTTGTCCGCACAGCTTCTAGCCATAGTTATAACAACCATTGAGGTCCACCAGATGCGGACCTTTTCGAGGTGTATTATAAAAGTTGCCTAATAATAGTTTTACTTTGGTGCAAAGATGTTGTACAATGCCAAGATGGCCAATCAAATCAGAGTAGGCATTACTGTTACTGTTTACAGAAGCCGAGTGTGAATTCCAGCATTAATCAGTTTTAATGGACAAAAAGTGAGATGTAACTAGTGCTGCGTTCAAGTCCTCTTGGGACGTTCGTACTTACGAGTTGACAAGTCGTAATTACGATGTCAGGTGCGTTCAAGTCAGTTTAGTCGGCACAAGATGGCGGTGTACCTTCTTTTAATAAATTACAAGAAAATACAACAGGGTCTGTTAACTCTGCTTATAGAAAATGAAGAGCAAAGAATTCGCATCAGGTGTGTTTTGCGTTTTTAATATTTTTAAAACATGCAACATGGCAAATCAAAAGATTTTTCACCTATAGGTGCAAAAATTATAGCATTTTTTTTACTTGGATTTCATTAAGTAGCTGCGTAACAAGAACATGACCAATTTAAGTTTATAGGACAACTAAACTATCAATTTAAACAAAAATTTACCGTCAACTACAGACGTTGCATCCATCGATTCCGCCATGTTTCTCATTGACACGCCCCCAACTCGGAAACTCGGGGCTTAAAGAAAATTTCGAGTTTCCCACTCGTAATAACGACTTTGTGGTGGCGTTCATGTGCGTTCAACTCGTAAATACGATCTATTCGACATGACTTGAACGCACCATAGGTCAACACTTGATATTTGACAACTGTGTATCTTGAGTCTTCTGAAGCCATATTGTAACTTTGTGTTTTTGTTTTGAAGTGTCATTAGTACTTGCACTCAATTCAAAACATTCAAATGACACATTAAAATCAGAGTAATTGCACAACCAGTTGCATTTGACGCTGATGCAAAAGCACCATAACATGTATTGTTTGAATATGCATAAGCGTAAATGAGATTTGAGAGAATTTTCAGCAAATTACAACTTAAGTTATCACGTAGCTTCAGAAGACTGAGATCTAAAGAAAGTCATGTGCGGCTGGAGTGACACGAGTAAAGAGTCAATTGTGCCAGAATTTTCTTTTCGTGGTGAGCTTCTCCATTAATCATGGAGTTAAGCGCTTGAATCGATAATGAATTGAAAGTAATCTGCACCCTGTTTCTTTCATTAGAACGCTCGTTTCTTTTTGTCATGTTTCGGCTTTAAGTGGAGGACACTTGGTTAGTCATGTTTGATAGCATGAAATGCAGATCTCTGAGGCTGCTGTCATCTTGCCTTGTACCATAGAGCTTAAAGCCTTAGAAAGATGTAGTGCCAATGCACAGATTGGCAATATCACACGTTCCTTTCATACGTCATTTGTGTCTGGTTGTAGACTCCAGGCAGTGAGGATGCTTCTCCACCTTCTGGTGTATAATAAACTCCATGAGATCTTCTGTACATTGTCTTCTATGCAGAGGAGAGAGACAGTTGCCTGTCGGCTCCTCACACCACATCGTCGCACTACAGTAAACTGTCCACGGTTTGCATGAGCATAAACTGTGGCTGCTTTTGAGCCATTTTGACTTGTAAATAAAATAGTTTTGCAAACCTTCTGTGCTTTTGTGTCTATTTTGTATAAGTGACATTATCTATTTGTCTTGCTTTTCCATTTCTCAAATTCCAAAAAAATAAGTGCATATTCAAGCAACACTACAATAGTGTCCCATTAGTAGTGCATTGACTAAAGTAAACTTAATAAGCAATGTATTTGTTTGTTAGTGATAGATAATATAAATTTTGCTATTCATGTTAGCTCAGGTCCATTAAATAATATTAAGAGATACAACTTTTAATGTTGACGTCTTGGATGACAAATGTTGAAATAACTTTAAAGGTGGGGTAAGCGATTTTTCAAAAACGCTTTAGAAAACTGATTCGGGCCGACTAGCAAAACAAACTTGTAGCCAATCAGCAGTAAGGGGCGTGTCTACTCATGATGTGGAGGAGAGATCGTTCAGTGCACAGGATGGACATTAGCAAGCCAAGCGACAGAAAGATCGAGATGGCGGATAAAAAACAAAAGAGGAAAACGTCTGCGGAACAAAAGAAGGCTTAAGACAATAAGGCAAGAAGTAGAACCCGTGTAAATATCGGATCAGCTGTTAAATATCGCATGCGATTTATCGTGCAGCCCTAGGCGAGACCCTTTAGGGTAGGGGCGTTTTTGTTTTGGTGATTTCAAATGTCAACATTGACTACCAGAAATCGCTTACCCCACCTTTAAGGTTAATAAATGATCTAGGAATATTTTTTATTGTTAATATTAACTGAAGTAGGTAACTAATTGTAGCAAATGGAACCTTATTGTAGAGTGTTGCCACAAATACTGTATATAATTCAGTCTTGCCTTTTTTAGTTAACAAATATGCAGGAAACTTTAAAGCAGCACTATGTAACTTTCTGTGTTCAAAATGAGCAAAATGTATATAATGAGCGAGTACATCATGAATTCATCTTCCAAACCGCGTTTTTGTCTTATTCCGAATCACTACGGTACACTTATAATAAGTACTTATATTTGGACTATTGTAGCCTGGTCGGGTCGTTACCGCTGCGGAGTAACACATACCTGCGTGAATCGCCATAGACATAAACTTAAGAGAAGTAGCTCCGGTTGGAATGTTCTTCCGCGGGATGTGTGCAGGTTCTGTTTATTAACCGCCAAAAGTTACATAGTGCTGCTTTAATCTGCCCAAGTGTGAGTCAAGACAATGGCTACATCAAATTTGTAGTGCAGACCATTGTGCTGTATTTAATTTAACATGTGTTGGTGGGTTTTGAGGAGATGCGTACTCTAAATAGAAACAAATAAATAGCTCAGTCTAGTGGGTGGAAATGAAGAAACTCTTCTTTAGATCTGAGAGTGGGGCAATGTGAGGTATTTGACAGCATAACAGAGCAGGCATGGTGGGTCAGGGAAGAGGTAAACATTCCAGTAGGAGTGGAGAAAAAATAATCAGGCCACTGGCAGCAGTATAAGCCAGCAACAGTGTCCTTAATGGAATTCTAGCAGATATTGCCAGCCAGTGTGAGGTTCTGAGCAAAGGCATGTCCGAGATTTTGAACAAGTTTGAGAAAATACACAAGAAAATGTGGCTTTAAAGATCTGGGCTGACAACACAAAATCTTATCAGAGAGTGTTTCATAAGCTACCGCTATTGTGTCTAAGAATAATGAGAAATGCACCAGCAGAGGGCAGAGTGGACACTAATAATACACTGTTGTTTGGAATATTTTTTTCTTCCAAGGCTGCCGTTATTAAAAAAACACAGTAAAACAAATATAACAATTTTAAATGACTGCTTTCTATTTTAAAACATATTTTTAAAATGTATGTTACACACACAATGCATTTTAAAATATATTAAAATTGAAAACAGTTGTTTTATTTAAACAGTTATTAACAGTTCAATTCAAAACATTCAAATGACGCATAGCAATCAGTCATGAGAAATGCAGCAACCATGAAAAACATATGCAGGAATGAGATTTGAGGGCGTTTTATAGCAAATTACAATTTAAGTGATTAGGCTGCATGGCCAAGACCGAATAGAAGAGCCAAAGAAAGTCATTTGCGGTTGGAATGACATAAAGGTGAGTAAATTGTACCAGAACTCTCTGGGTGAACTATTCTAATAATTATATATAGTTATTATCTCTATTAATGCGGTTGATTTGCACCTTTTTTTTTTTTTTTGGTCATGTTTCCCAAAGTAATGCAAAAATAATGAATCATTTATTATTAAAATTGAAAATAGCAGTTATAAATGCTGTATCATTTAAGAGTAAATTAAAATGTAATAGTGGTAAATAATAGTAAAGTGAGCATGCTTGTGTCGTATATTATATTTTGTTATTGTTCATCAGTGTTGGGGAAAGTTACTTTTAAAAGTAATGCATTACAATATTGCGTTACTCCATGAAAAAGTAACTAATTACGTTAATTCGCTACTTGTAATGGTAAGTAATGCGTTACGTTACTTTTGCGTTAATTTTAAAA